AAATCAAAAAAAAAAAAAAAAAAAAGAAAAGAAAAGATGGTCCGTCAAAAGCGTGTGTGGGAATGGAAGATGGTTGCTCGAGAAATTTCAGCCACGTTGTCGTGTGTGTGGCAAAAACGAGTCTTCTACTGTGTCTTCCCTGTCTCTTTTTTTCTTTCGTTTTCCTCTTGTCACTCTTCGTGTGGAGAGTTTTGCTCGCGAATCGCGTAGCTGTTACGCGTTAGACGCGGTCCTTTCTTCCTGTCTGTCTGTCGGTTTGGCTTTTCCTTTTCTTTGTATCTCTGCTTTTTCTTCCGCTTTAGAGTTCATTTTTTTTTTTTCTCTTTCTCTCTTTTACTATAACGGCGACGCAGCTTCGCTGAAAGTTCTCGTCGGGCCGGTTTTTTCTTCCCCTCTTGCGAATTTCACGTTTCTGTCACGGGATTTTTTGCGTTTTCTCCCGAGCTTGCAAAGAGAAAAGCCTGCGTATATATTAGTATTCGTTTCTCGTGGAAGAGCATTGTTTTTTTTTTGTCCTTTCTTTTTTTCCAAAAAATCCTCAGGTAAAAAACTATAAAAAGACCGTCTTTCTTCTAACTTCATCGTGTAAATAGTATTTCGATACGAAGAAAGTGATAAAAAGTTGTGATAAACCTTAAGCCGAGAGCCGCCGGTGATGATAAATTGTGTCGAAGACGTTTGGACGTTCGTACAAAAAAGAAAAAGTTTTTGGACAGGGGGAAAAAAGACAACAGTCATCCCCTTTGTCGAAGCGTGAAACGTGCATCACTTTAACCGTAGGCTAATTGAAGTTAAAGCGCGTTTCACACTTCCGACGAAAGGAGTTGTTCTTGTTTCTTTTTTCTTTCTTTCTTTTTTTTTTCCTGTCGACAAAATCTCTTTGATACTTGATGCCGGATACGATCTTTCATTTGCTTTTCTTCCTCTTTTCTTCTTTTTCTTGTTTTCATCATTTATCTCTGCTTGCGGCGTTGGTTTCTCCTAATCTCGTCTCGCTGGATATATTGGAAAAGAAAATCTTACATTTAAGCGCCGAGCTTACTTTAATTTCCCACAAATCTAGATCGATAAGCACGATTCCTCACGGTAAAATACTCTAGAATACTAACATTTAGATTTAGCGATAAATCGAGTTTGTACATTTGTTCTCGCTGGCATCCTCGGCCAACGGGTAGATTAAATTACCACGCCTCTTAATTCACGCGCATTAATAATTTATAACGTTAAAAATCTTCTTTTCTCTCTTTCTCCCTCTCACGCGCTCTCTTTAAGTTATCATTTATTTATATTAATAATTTCTATTCAATCTCCATTCTTAATCATTTTCTTTTTCTTTTTTTTTCGTTTTTTTAACTTTATTCCTTTCCTTTGCTTTGTTTCTCTTACTTTGTTACTTTGATTTGTACATTCTACCGAGCGGTGGCGAGCCGGCTCCGGTTGTCACATTCCGTCCAAATCCCTCTCATCATTCCCTTTCTCCTTTTTTCCTTTTTTCCTTTTGATAAGCGCTGTGCTGAAGAATCGGCCGAAAAAAATTAACGTTCGTTCCTCGTTTTATCGCGATGATTTCTCCTTCTTGTTGAAATGCTTTCCTTTCTGCGTGCGTTCATTCATATCCGTGTGTCAGTGTACTTTCGTAGAAATCCCTTGAAGTCATCTCTGCTTATCTTGGTGAAATGGAGTGCAAGAATTGTTTACGAGCAACCGAAGTCAAAGAATGTCTTCTTTCTCACGTCCCTGCGTTATCTTCAAACGTCTCGTTTTCTTTTTCACGTCGCTTCGTCTCGCTTCACGAGTCTTTCCTTTTTTTTTTTTTTTTTTTGAAGAGTTTCGTTTCGACAAAGCTTTGGCGCAACGAAAAAATGAATCGAAGATCGATAAACGAGCGAAAGGTGTAAAAAAAAAAAAAAACTCACGTGCGGAGCAGGTTGCAAATCGCGAACTCTCTTCGTTCGCTTCGTTCTCTTCTTCTTCTTTTTTTTCTTGGTTAGTTTCTTCTTTTTTTTTTCCCACAAAGAGATATTCCAAAAAGGGGTGAGGCATGGGGAGCCATTCGTTGTTGGCATCGAGCCAATATTTCCTTCTTTCCTCTTTTTCACGAATTCCTGTTAAAAGAGCGATACTGTTTTCTCACTCGCGTTGTGCTTCTTCGTAACATTCTGTTCGACTCTCGGACGTTTTCCGTGTGCGAAAAAAATACCTAAAAATAAACAACGGAGAAATTTTGATTCGTTGTTTCGGCCGAAAACGATGACTAAATACAGATAATCATAATCTCCTCGATGTGCTGTGTTGTTTCAGGAAAAAAAAGGAGCGATCTCAAAGTAGCGTAAATGATTTCTTTTTTTTTTTTGGTAGTTGAATATTACCGTGTGTTGCTGATGATTGTGAAACCTCGCTGTGTCCTCTCTTCTTTTTTTTTTTTTTTTTTTGTTGCCATTATTCTGCTCTATGGTTTTGCGTTGTACCCATTCTTGTTAACCTATGGTCTTATGGTGATTGTATAAAATGACACCTGGCTTTCTTTCTCGGTTCCTTGGCACTTTGCGTTCCTTTCATTTTTTTCCCCTTTTCTTCGTCCTACTCTTCTCTTCTCTTCTTTTTTTTTTCGCAGCCCCTCGCTCCCTTCGTACTTGTTATTTATCAAGCGTAAATATTCAGAGAATATTCTTCTTTGCAAAAGAAAATACGTACGGTGGACGAAGGGCTGCGAAGGGCGAGAAAATCTTCTTCTTCTCGGGGAAGCGACAACGACGAGAAATCACGTCGCATAAAACTGCGAGGGAGCCGCCTTTGTCGTTCTACCGTCCGAGTGTGGACACGTTCCCTCGCCGAGCGGGCCTAGCGCCATTGTTTATTCTCTGAATATATTAAATATATTATACAATTTATCCAACTAAAAAAATCTTCTTTATTTCCCCCCTAGGGGGCCGCAGACGCACACAGCGCAAAAAGCTGCGCGCCGTGCCCCCTTCTTTTAAATATTTTTCTTCACCTCTTTCTCCTCTCACTCTTCTTTTATTTTTTTTTTCCCCTTAAATCTTTACTCTTTTAAACTCCCCTTTATCTCTCTGTCACCTCTTCACTCCCTCACTCTCTCTCTCTCTCTCTCTCTCTCTCCTGAGAGTCACATACTCTTTCACGAAAAAAAAAACACTCCGCTTTGCTTCTTTTTCCCTTCTTTTTTTTCCTTTAAAACCATCTTTCTTCTCCTCCTCTTCATATATCTCCTTATTACTCTACTTTAAAAAAATGTCTGCCGTCTCTTCTCGCTGCTTTGCGTTCTCTCCCTCTCTTTTTTTTTTCTTCTTTTTCATTTTTACTTCTCTACCTAGCGTCGTTAAAATTCATTAAGTTATTAAAAAACACGTAACAAAAGGACTGAAAAAAGAAAAATCCACTTAGATCCTCCCCCAACAATGTATCAAAAATAAACTTATTACTCTTAGATTCATTTTCTCTTTCTTTCTCTTATCCTTTCTTGTCTACTTCCTGTCTTCTTTGTGTTTTCTCGCTTGGTAATCGCGACATTTTTTGTCCGTCTTTATTCTCCCTCTCTTTTCCTTCGGTCGATTTCTCACTTCCTCCCCGGAGTTTCGTCGTTTCGTATCGGGTTTGTTTTTAAAAAATCGTTTTTCTCCTTCCATTTTAATCCATCCGGCGCCGTTTCTCGAGACGCAGCGAAAAAGAAAAAGGCAAGAGACAGGAGGCTTTTTCTCTCCCTTTTCGTCTCTTTATCTTCCTCATCTGCGTACCTTTGTTCGTCCTTCCGATTACATATATATCATCAGCACTGCGATATTCCCCTTCATCGTTTCTTTTGCTCACCATCTTTGACAAACCTAACCTAAAACACGCGCGATCTTATCGCCCTCCCTTCACCGAAGAGAAACACTACACGTTGGAAGAGAAGACGACTTGTCATCACACGCTCTGTTCGTTTTGTTTCTTTTTTTTTTTTTTTTATACTAAACGCATACCGAATGCCACGAGGTAAACCGACCAGGTTAGACGAGACCCTGTCCTCCGATGAAAAACCGGAATGAGTCGATCGTCGCCTTCGTCGCTGTACGCGAACCCCCCGACAACACACGAGGTTCAATTCGTACGAAATTGAGCATCGATCACGCACCACGAAATTAGCCAAGGACTGAAGAACGCCAATTTCAACTTGTCGCCGCCAGTGGCGGGAATTTCGAATCGACCTAACCTCGATAAAACTACTGTTTCGAGAATATTCTTACTCCGAGGTGAAATTTAACACCGACGGAACGACTATTTTTTGAAAGCGTGTTATTATTGTTGTTTCCGTGGTTCGTAATCGTGCGTCTCGTCAGTCCGTTGTGATTGGATTTCCCTTTTGGTCACGTTATAGTTTTCAGACACCACCGAAACGGAGCTACCAGTCCGTTCCACAAAAAAAAAAAAGAAAAAAAAAGTCCCTTTCGATAGACAAAGTGCAAACTTCACTTTCACCACTTTTTTACAAATAGTCCTGGAACGTTTGCGGTCTTCGCTCTTTGTCTTTATCTTTCTTCTTGTCCGTGTACGTGCGAACACTATCGCGTCGTTTTAGACTATTTTTTCTCCTTTCGCGGATCAATATTAAAAAAAAAAGTTGCGAATCACGCGTAATCAATCGGTCACGAATATTCCCCATGCCACGGGCGAACCACGACCACGCGTACATTCTCCTCCTCCTAATGAATTTCCAATATAAATATCCCAGAAAAAGAAAAAGTCAATCTCGCGAAAGAGTCTCGTGAGGATTATCGTGATCGATGGTACGCGTCGTGCCGGAGAGACACGCGATGATACCGCTTGCGAGTTTCCACCGAGTCATCAATTGTACGCTTGCACACCGTCATGAGGAAGAAAAAAAAAAAAAAGCTGACGAGAAGGAAAAAGGAAAGTTTAAGAGAGTTTTGAAACGATAGTCAAAAGAGTACACTACCGATAACTCGCTGGCGATATCACGCAGACGAAGAGCAACATCAAACACGTTTTTTTCCCTCATCGAGCGTCACTCTTCTTCTTTCACCTCCAGCACGTTTTCTTCTTCTTCTTTTTCCCCCCCCCTATGATCCTTCTCACCGCGAGTGTTCCATCCCTTCGATTACCCTAAATTTCTACTTTGTTTGGGGCTTCTTTTGCCACGTATTTAGCCTAACCAATAATTACTTACTTATCAATTAATAGTATTATTTAACACACGCACACTCACACATTATTACATTCGTGATACAAGTAAAAATCCCTGAAAAGTTTCGTGTTTTTTTTTCTTTTTTTTTCTTCTTTTTTGTTTTTTTTTTTTTGCTCTCTTATCAGTTTGTCCTCCTCCTCTTTACGTATCCCTGAATCATCATCATTCATCATCTTCTTCTTCTTACAACTCCTGTCTCTCCTCTCGCTCTCTCGAGCGTACTCCAAACACGGTCGCTTTTCCATTCTCTCTCCTCTTCGTGGAACATCCTTCTCGTGGCACGAAACAACGTCCGCTTCACGTACAAACGCGTCGGATGTTTCCCTCGGTATATCTTCGTCCTCTCTTTCACCGAGCGCGCCTACGATCTACATGCACTCTTATCTTCTTCTTTCCGATCATTTTTTTTTTCTTTTTTGAAGGAAAAAAAAAAGAAAGAAAGCGACTCGATGACGGAGGCTTCTTTTTTTGTTTTTTTGTTTTCGTCGATGTTTCCTTCCATTTGCTGTTTCCGACATCAATCAACCACTCATGGATTCCCCACAGACGCTCTTTCTCTCTCTCTCCCTCTCTCTCTCTGTGTCTGTGATGCACACCCCTCCCGCTCTTCTTGGCTCTTGCAAGGAACTTGAGGTGAGTAAAGCGTTCGACACGACCGGTAAACGCGTGTCACGCATTTTCACTTCACTAATACGCAAAAACTCGCTAATCGCTTCTTTGGTATTACCGACGCGAGAGGGGCGGGGGGATATAATGAGAGCGGTGTGTCTGTCGTGAAAACTCGTCGGTTCTTACGTCTATAAACTGCAGAACGTGTCACACGTTTCGTTCACATGCTTTCTGTTCATTTTCTGTTGTTGCTGTTGTTGTTGTTTGTTTCTCTTCATTAATTAATGTCTCTCTGCGTTCTGATATTTAAAAAAAAAAAAAAAACTGTACCTATAATGGCTCTTTCTTCTCTTTAAATGAGGGAATAAAAAAAAAAACACCGCTTTCCTGTATAGAGTACTTAGTAAAGAAGTAGTAGTAGTTAATAGCAGTAATAGTAGTAGCAGTAATAATAGTAATTGTAGTAGTAACATGTATAACGTAATCGTGTAATCGTTACTTAACTTCTCTGTATATTATTATAACTTTTAATATTTAGGTAGACTTCTTCTCTTCATTTTTTTTTTGTTTTTTTGTTTTTTTTTTTTTAGATTAGTTGGTTTTTCTTATCCTCTCTCTCGTTTCACGTTTTCATTTTATCATATTAAATCTTTAACCGTAATCAATGAGGTAATAAGGTTGTGTATGCTTTTTTTCTTTCTCTCTTAGCATCCGTATTATCCTGTTTCATCGACGAGGTGGTTTCGGTTTAACGCTGCGAAATCGATTTCGTTCGAGTGTCACACCCGTCGCTTTAACTTCCAAATTAAGCGAAACTCGCAACGAAAACGCGCCGCAACGCGCGCAGAGGAAGTGAGGGGAACGCGGTCCCGTTGTTGTCTTTTTTCTCTCCGTCCTCCAACCAAACGATCGATTATACCTTTCATTCCCTGTTTCGAATGGACAGAAACCGAATTTCTTTTCTTTTCTTTCTTTCTTTCTTTTTTCATCGCCTCACCTCGTCTCGCGCGATGCGTTTTTCGTTAGCTAACGTGCGCTTCCGACTCGACGCGACACTCTCCTGCATCGATTTTATACTTCAGAGCTGTGTATCCTGAGCTGTTAAACGCAACGTGGGTTAACGTGTGTGTGTGTCACGATCAATGGCCATCGATCAACAATAACATAATCTACTGTTCTCTCTGTTGCAAAAAATCTGTCCAATCACGCTTTACTATTCCTTGCGTTTTCCAAGCAAAATGTTGTAAGAACGTTTACACGACCAACTAACTAAAACAGAAAAAAAAAAAAGGAAAAAGGAAAAAAAAATGGAAACAAGAAAAGAACAGCCATCGATCGGTATTCACACTCTTTACCCCGTTCTGAATCGAACCTGTACATATTTATATATCTGTAATTTGTTAGGTATGAAGAATGCCCTATTGCATGCACGTTGTAGCGTTATGTGACATTTGGAAACCGGTGTTTTTCACGACATGCTCTCTCCCTCTCTCTCTCTCTCTCTCTCTCTCTCCTGCTCTCTTTCGTACAGCGCGCGTCGACTGAGGTTAGGATACATAGCCCGCGAGAAGGAGGTCGCACGTAGCCCTTTATCATACATATACCGAGAGAATGTCAAAGCGACGATGCCACCCCGGCGATTGAAACGGATTCTGTGAGACGTTGGTCGGCGTCAGGTAAGTTTGTTCAGTGACGTTACTGATTTTGTGATTGCTGCTGCTGGCTGGATGGCGAGGTGCTCGACTGTTGCTGAGCGACGTGCTGCTGCTGCTGCTGTTGTTGCGTTGCCGCGGCACCTTGTTGAGACGTGGTGCTGCCGTCTCTTCGAGAACGAGAGCCAGCTTCTTGGCTGCTGCCACGACCTGCGCGAGAGCCAGTTACACCTGCTCCAGGTGCACTAGACGACTGTAGGACCATAGCGCGGATTCTTCTCTGCGCCGACTGTTGTGAATCAGAGAGAAACGAGATAAATAATTTTTCGTAATTTTCGAAGAATAGTTAACAAGAAACGCTGTGATACCTGTACAGAGAAGAAGGGGCCAATTATTTGGACGGTGGCCTCTTCGTCGGCGGAAGGAGACGTCGATTGTTGCTCCGACAATTTTATGATGCTTCCGGTTACACGTTGCAGTTCCCGAACGTTTTGCCCACCTTTCCCAATGATACGGCCAACCTGAGTACTCGGCACGAGGATCTCGATCGTCAATCGGACGTCCTCGGTGCCAGCTACGAAACCTTCCTCGCGCATCTTCTCGAAGATCAAGTATTGAGCCTGTAAACCGATTAATAATGTAGTATCGTAGTTGTTGCATGTACCTGTGGTTACTAGATCTTTAGTTTAATTATGATTGACTGTGTTGTTGAAAAAGAATTTATTGTTAATCTCTGTTTTTCGTCTTGTCTAATTATCAGTTGTTTTATCACGAACATTGTTATTAAATAAATATTATTTATATTTTATCTCTACAATAATGTTATTGTTAATGATTGTCTTTGTATAAAAACGTTCGATCGGAGAAAAAAAGAAAAAAAAAAAAGAAAGAAATGATGTCGAAGGTTGTAACGGGACCAACTATACATGTACAAATACGACATGTCATTGGCACGGGTAAACCCTTCGTGTTAATTTTTCCTGCAGTCATCAAGACGATGCTTAAGATAGACGGCATCCTCCCAAACGAGCAGGTAGTTTTTATTTTTTTTCTCACTCTCTCTCTTCGTCTCTGCTTTCGAATGCCGCGCCATCGCAGCGCTGCACGTGTCGCGGAAATTTTATCGACCGATGATAAAGAAAACCAGACAGAAAGAAAATACCGAGATTCGAACGTGGAACCTTGGCGTTTGCAGGCTCACGTTCAAACCACCAAGTCACGAAACGACTATGACTGAAAGATACAGGTACACGCTGTACTAACTCTACTTAGTTGGAACTTCATACTTTTTCTACGTGCAAAATCTTTAATATACAAAGATAATCTCTCTCTCTCTTTCTCTATCCTAGAGTAACGTACGAATTCTTTTTCATTGTAAAAATTTTAAAACGAGGTTTTTAACACGTTGAATGCTGACATTACACGATTCGTATTATGTTGCACGAATGTTATCTGCAATAGATAACTTTAAGTTTACATAACGAGTTTATTTTACACGCTAGAACGCGTTTCCTCGATGCTCATTTATTTTTTACGATAGAGTTACGAAAAATTGTGGGTTGCATTTTTTTTTCGAGAAGAAAAAGATGTTACAAAAAAGAACTCGATAGAACAAAAGATACAAGTCCTTGGTGTATCGCCAATCACCAGTGACCCCCTATCATGGCATTCAAAGTGTTAAAAATTGAATATGGGCGGGGAAAAAAGTATCAAACCGTCGTCTGAGGGAAAACATACTTTCCACTGTGATTCTGGTGACCCAACGATAGTCACTTTTCTGTCATTTTGTTGCTCTACCGGCTTATCCTGTTCGATCGGCGCGATCTTGACGCTGGCGCCAGAGAATCTGATGATATTTCTGATATGAGAGCCCTTGCTCCCTATAATAGCGCCTACGCTGGTGTTTGGAATGTAAAGATACGCGGTTTCTTGAGTGTCGCCAATCGGAATACCCTGTTGCGTCGGCAAGCTGGCTTGGTAAGGGTACGGAGCTGGTCCGGAACCGTACAAACCGGGGCCACGCGAGCTGTATCCCATGCCAGCGGTGGACATCATAGCCATTGGATGCAAGCCCGGGAACATCAAGCTTTGTGGCTGTAAAGCGTCGTTATTTCGTTATTATCGCGAGTTCAAGTTGACTGAGAACCTCGAATAGGAGAATTTCTTTGACTTAATACTAAACCTACCATCATACCGTTTCCAAGCGTTTGTGTTTGAAACAATTTTCTACATACAATATAGATCACATCGTTATTTATCTCTACGACTTTTCCTAAAATATGTACACAATGAATTTTTCGCTGTTTACTTCTCTTTTTTTTTCCCCGAGAAATATATGTAGTCTGTTCAATTTGAAAAACTTGTGATATTTACTTTCCTAAAATTATATCGATTCACGCGAAAGGCTATTTGAACAAAAGTGCTGTCAGTGATCGACAACAATGTTTCATTAGTTTCAAGAGTACATGCAGGTCGCAGTGTGCAATTTTATAACTCCTATAAGAGAGAGGACCGCAGTATAAAAGTTCCAAAGTGTTTCCTTTGCACTTCAAGTTACAAGTGCAAGTTTGAAGAAAGAGAAAGTAAATCTGCAATACCCAAGAGATGAATATCTTGAATAAATGTAGAGGACGAAAGAACAGATTAGTTTTGAATTCCAAAACTGCTGCTGACTGTTATCTACTTCAGTGTGTAAAAAAAATATTACTTTCCTTTTAAGTACCAGTCATTTTGACCATGGTCATGGTAGGAATAGGTATACGTAAAGTGTCGGTAGATTCTTACAAATGATCGCCCATTTCTAATACTCACAGCCATTGCCTGCAAGTCGTTCTCGTAGCTTTGGCGCAATTTGCTGGAAATCATGGATTCGGCTTTGCTCATGTTGTCGATGGTGCCTTTCACGGTGATGATGCGCTCGAGATTGAAGTTGTTAATGTCGTTGATGCTGCTCACGGTGATCTTCGTGTCAGTGTCCTGCATAATTTTCTTGATGGTGGTGCCACCCTTCCCGATGATACGTCCAATCAAATTGTTGTGCGCGAGGATTCTCAGCGAGATCTCGCTGTTGGTGAAACGAAACGATTGATCAGAAACAGAAGGAAGATTATTCTCTTCGTGGACGAAAAGAAGCTTCTCTCTCACTCTCTCTTACCCTTTGCTCAAGCCGTAAGACTCTTGTTGCGTGACGTCCATGATCTTCTTGCAAGCGTTCGTACAGTTATCTGGATTGCCATAAATAGTGATGGCTTTCTCCGCGGCGCCGAGGCTGTCCTTTCGGTGAACGTCCACCCGCGCGCGCGTCATCTGCGTGATCTGGCGTATAGTGGATCCCTGACGGCCAATTATGGCTCCTACCATCTCCGACTGCACGAGAATACGAAGCGGGAAGTCCGCCTGACGTCCGGCGCCCGACACGCCGGAATAAGCGACGCCGCTGCGCTGGCTGCGGCCTCTTCGTCGATTCTCCGCCGTAGACATTTCCACTTTTAGCGGGCTACCGTCGAAATCGTGGCCATTCAATTGGTTCACAGCCCTGAAAAAACCACCATCAACCGTCACAATACGTCACACAACATATCACGTCACATCATGGTACGACGATTCTCTCAGCAATTGAGTTTACCGACTCAAAACAAAGAAACAAAGAAAAGGAAACTTACTGCTGTGCTTGTTCCTGCGTCTCATAGCTAATGAGGACGGTTTGTACGTTAGGGTCGCGCGACGTTAACTTTTCCACGGCCTGCACTTGGCCGCAGTTGGAGAAGAGAACCTCGACGTCTTCTAATCTGGCCAGGGCTGGGATGTTGTTCACAACTACTTTCGATCCGGAGCTGTTGCAAAAGAAAGTTGCAAAGTTGCAAATCAATCAATTTTTACAAGGTTGACGTTTGATCGTTAAATGAAAGTGCGACGAGTACGAATTTGCACAACGATTTTCAAGAGGTGCGTTGAACATCAAATTTTTCAATATATCTAGTCTCAACACTTTATCGACCGATAGCTTATTTATCATTACTAATACACTGTCGGTAAAGTGTTAAAAATATGAAAAATTACATTTAACTAAATTTAGGTAACGAGTACGATCAGTTCTGTTATTACTTCGCGCTCAGTATCAAACATGATTGAAACAAATTTCCAATATGTTAGTATTTCTTTTTTTACGAGTTTCACTCTTGATGAATTTCACAAATGTTAATTTGTTCGTTTGTCTATTAACACTTTACCGACCGGTAGCCTATTAATCGGCTAATACACGGTCGGTAAAATGTTAAATATTAAGACTCGTCGGTAAAATGTTAAATGAAAACTAGATGTTGAGGTAATGATCATAAAATTTTCATTAGCAATGATGAGAGATACTGAACGTTGTTACGACGTAACTACACGCTACAAAAAGCAATCATACGCGAGTTTTTATTAACGATTCGCCAGGACCGGTCACGCAGAACGTGCGAGACGCAGGATGTGGGTCAAGAATTTCTCGGTATCGGCTCAAGATCGTCAAAGAAGACGGGGGGGAAGCGCCTGCTAAACGAAGACCGAGACTTGACCGAGGGAAAGGCGTGCAACACGGGCGTGAGTCAACGCGAACGTATTCGGACGATGCACAGCTTGGAATTCCAAGATGAGCCCCCACTGAAATACCAACACGTTGTAATAGCACTTCACTGTGAAAAAAAGACTTTGGTCTCGGCCAGTTGCGAAACAACGGAGTTAATTTTAAAAAATAAGCAAAAAAAGAAGGACCGACAAAATCTACCGTCGTATTTCGTATGCTGGATAATATCACGGTCAATAAAGACACCACGTTCTGTGCCTTTGAAGGTCATAAAAGAGTCGAAAACGAACTTATTTAAAAAAAAAAAAAACAATTTTCAAGTAGCATTTGATTCATGCGTATATTTCCAGATAGTGTTTGTCTGAAGCGAACGATAGTTTGCTTGTGGAAATATTTCAAATATTTTCAGTACATTTCATCTTTTATTTTCCCGAATTTTCCTCAATACAAAATATCTCTAAAATAATTTCGTGTTACAACGAGTTCATGATTGTAATCACCCCCGTAATCATTTCGATACATTCCTTTCCTATTCACCGATTTCAGATATACGGAGAAATACTCGAGCCAAGTCCCGGGCTAAATCGAATTTTCAAGGGACGAAAAATCACGGCGATTGGACGAGGGAACGGCGCTGGCGCGACGCGACATGAATGAACCAAATGGCAAGTAAGAAGAGGACGCGGAACGCGGGGAAGAAAAAGGAGGGTGAAACGGCTGAGACTCTCACTTTCGTACGTATCGATTTTTCAGCTCGCCCGACCCACTCTCAGGCGTCTAACCTTGGCTTTCGGACTAACCTTGAAGAAAACGTACCGAACGACCTAGCCTCTCCTCGTGCTTGGCCGATTATCCCCTCGCAGACGAATGACGAGGATCGCGTACGAAATACATAGGTTTCGATCGTCGAGAAGAAAGACGAAATAACACCTCATTGGCAACGTTACACGTTTTTCTACGGGACATTTTTTCCTACGCGATGGCGGAGGGCGACGCACGCGTGTTAGTGGCGTACGGCGCGCGACGAGACCAATTCGAACGGACGAAAAATTTCGAGGACGAAAAACACGATCATCACACACCACCGTGGAACGAGAACTCGTTGCCGGGTGGCCGACAGAGACAGAGAGAGAAGTCGTTTCTCCCTTTGGAACACGTCGAGGCTGGAGGTTAGAGGAGCTTCGTCGAAGCCCGACACTACTCCTCCTGGACGTGGTGCACGTGCTCGGCGCGTCTATGAGGAGAGACACAGCAAGCACGTTCGACCGAGAAGAGAGAAAAGTCGATATCGTGTCTCTGTTGGGTAGACAGAAGGCTGGTGTGCACGCGTGTATCGGTACAGGTTACGAGGCTACAGAGTGAGGACGGGGGAGGACAGAGAGAAAGAGAGAGACAGAGAGAGAGAGAGAGAGAGTTTGGTAGTAGCGCCGGATGGAAGCGAGGGCGAGGGAGGTAGAGGCCTTTGTTTCGTGTGCTTTTGGGGATTTTCGGCGGCACCCCGGTGTGGTGGTGAGGTATATGGGCAGGAGGTGCGCGAGGGAACGTTGATATCGCCGGTTTCGTCTGACTCGCGAGGTCGCCGTCTCCTCCGCGCCACACGGCACGAGAATCCCCACTACTACTACCGTTCCTCCAGCTAGAGGAACCAGCTAGAGGTAGCAGCCCACCAGAGCACACACCACCACCGCCATACTACCACCACCACCACCTTCAACCTCAACCCTTTTTACGCGCCTCTTTTCCTCGCTACCCTTCCTGACCACCGGCCTGCCTGCCTCTGTCTCTCCTATTCTCCCCCGTCCTGCACACCCGCCGACGAACCACCCTCCGCTAGGATCTTGCACGCACGTGTAACTCGCGATTTCGTCCGTTCACCTTTAACGAAAGGCGGTATTTTCGTACGACCGCCAGAGTGACGAAGAGAGAGAACGGGAGAAAGAGACGAATAAGGGGAAGCGAGAGATAGACAGCTATAGAGAGAAAGAGGGGAGGAGGACCTTTTCTAAGCCCGAGGCACATACCGACAGGGATGGACGCGCGACGACCGCAGACCACGGGTCACCCCCGTGGAAGAGCTTTTGATCTCGCCTAAGACACCTTTTTTCGGACTCTCTTTTTCTTCTCTACCTCCTCCCCTCCCCCCGCCCTTTTTTTCTTTCTCGTTTAACAAGCCAATGGACTCGGGAGGAAGAGGCGGGAATGGCCGAAAGCGGGACGATGAAAGAGAGTGAGAAGGGACGGACAGGGGGATGAGGTCGAGAAAACGAGAGAGGGAAGGGGCAGTTGACGAAAAGTTCGGCGGGAGGGGGGAGGCTCGTAATGCGGTGCAGTTAATTGTGAAGGGAATTGGGACTCGTTACGCGCCGCTAGTCGTCTAAAAATGGAACACATTTATGCGAGATAATTAGCGCGCGGGGCGGCGCGCGTGTGTCGATTTCCCTTTTTTCTTTTTCTCTCTTTTTTGTACGGATGCATCGGGAATTACGCCGCGTAATCATCCCTTGCGAGTTTTTACGATTCCCGTTACTCCGTGTTTGCGCGGATCGCGAGTCTGTAATCTGTCAAATGGCAGAGCAGCCCCCCCCCCCGTCCATCCTACGCGATGACATTTTTCTCGAATCAACTTCTCAAGCTACAGAGAAACGTGAATGTCGCAAGAACAATTTCTTCATTGCACAGCTAACACCAATATTCGAAATATATAGTCGGAAGTGAAAAGATGCGACGTCGTTGCGAAACCATCCAGATGTAAATATAAAACCGACAAGTAATAGCGAGAAAAGGGAAGAGAGAGAGAGAGAAAAGAGACAAGAGTGGCGCCGGTTAGTAGGCGCACAGCCCTGGTAGAAAGACCGGAGAGAAGCGTCGACGTCGTTGACTGAACGGGCCGGCGGGGTGCACGGCGCCAAAATCGATTTTGAAAAGGGAAAGTGGCATGTACGTGCCAGCAGCGTGGCTTTACATACACAGTATGCGCACGATTCGCGACAAAAACGTGTAGGAGGTAAAACTGCAGTCGCGTCGAATAAAGGTTGCAAGCACACCGCGTATATATGTTGCACACAGGAACGACCGCACGAATGCGCGCGCGCGTGTAGTACGAGGCACGGCACCACAGCCGGACACGTACACACGTATGTGCACGAGGTCTGGTTGATGCCCCTTTTTTTCTGGCCACGAGTACCTCTTTCCCATTCATGTGTGAGCGTTCGAAGGGAAGTTGGCGTCTCTCGATTCGTTGTAACCGTGCGTGTGGTGTACCTGTGCCCGATGGCGTGGCACGTGTACCCAGGCACGCGTGCGTGTGCACGTGTATATACGAGACGTGTGCTCTTTATCTCTCTCTCTCGCTCTCGGCGGCCTCCGTGAATGGCGCTGGATGATGACAATTTCGGCGATTTTTCACGGTGTTTAAGCCGGAAGCAGTACACCCACTCCCCTCGGCTCTCCCCCGCCCATCGCTAACTGTTCTTTCTCTCCACGCATTTTCCACGGGATATTTGATTTATAACGAATCGAACATAACGTGGTCGTCGAATTCTGTTTACCAATGACGTTGCGCTCTACTTTCTTCTAAAAAAAAAAAATGGACAAGATGGACATGCGATAGACTTTGAAAGATTAGCGCAAGGTTGACTAAATTTCCGCGAGTCGACGCCATAGCTGCGTTTATTTTTAGCCAGTTAGTTTCGCGCGTACTATTAAGATCCGATAGATATTGGGATCCAGCAACGTGAAAGATAAGGCGAATATTCGATTACAGAGTGCCAACGTTCGAGGAAAGATCGACGAACGATTTCTAAAAGTTTTCCGCACAGTTCGAGAATCGAGCGAAATAGATATGCGCGCCGTATTGGAAAGCGATGAATGCACACCATCGTCCTCGACGAAGAAGATAAGAGAGAATTTTTACGGAAGTTTGTTAATATTGACACGCCACGGGTATGAACGTCGCCCTGTGCATCTTGGAATCTGTGTCGAACGTTATCTAACACGTTTCGTCAACATTTCGAAATGGTAGAGGGATTCAACTCCCTGTAGAATTATTTTGTTTCTTCGAATACTTGTTGATTGGAAAGATACCGAAAAGGTATTGAATAACGAGCAAAAAGTGTAGCAGCCAGAAGTAAATGACTGGGTTGGCGAAAAAGTAATTGCGTTTTTCTCTAACAGATGGACGTCTAACTAACCTCACTTTTAACCGCAGATTCATCGTGTAATCCGATACCCGACTGTTCCAAGCTTGCTTCTGAGAAAGAAAACGCACGG